TACACAATCCTCAATCAACCACATGAACTGGGGGCTGGTAAAATGGACAAAGTAAACAGCCAAAAAATCTGACCATGAAATTCAACTCTCTGTATTTCTTTATTGATTTTAACACCAAACAGTCTCCATAAAAACAATCTAATTAAAACAATCTCACTATGAAAACTTACTGCCTGTTCAAGCCTCCTTTGTGCTTTGAGCAAATCCTCTTGTTCCTGTTTTAGCATTTGAGCCTGCCAATAAACACAATAACATTTACATTGTTATAGGATGTTTGCATATGGTAAAGGAAAGACCAATGATTAATTGAACAAATATTTTTTTCTAGGTAATAATAGGTGAAAGTATTTCTTCTCCACTGAAGGGTTTAATTTAGCAACAAGTACATGTACTTCATCTAATCCTCCTTGCTGTAATTTTAATATTTGGTTTATCAGCTTGATTTGGCCTTATAGGTACATTTATTGGCTAAGTGACCTCCTCGAAGTAAAATTAGTCGAGGAAAAAAAGGTCAGTTTAAATCTGTATGCATCAGTCATTCATCTAAAGGGATGATTTTGCTCGAAGTAAACTGCATGGCTGGTCAGGGTTTTTGAAAGGTTTCCATGTTGTCTTTAGAAGTCTTCAAGGAAAAATCTTCCCCCCTTCCTCAGAAAGAAAAAAACTGTAGGATGGCTACCCACACTAGACTGAAAATATGACAAAGAGTTCAGTTTACAAACTATACCTCTTCATCTCTAAGTTTAAGTTCTTCCATTTGTTTTCTCAGATCTGCAGCAAGATTTTCTTGTTCTCTACAATTAATAAGTAAGAAAAATTAAACATTATCATGCCTGAAGGAGAAGTGATCAAACAACAGTTATATGGAATTGAAGTGTTTACAAATGCAGAATGGAATGTAGTTCTAGAATGACGGAAGAAAAATCTCTAGCATATATAGAATTGGGCAACACTAAATAAAAAAGACTTCAGCATTTATTTCTCCTCATAACTAACATATAAGGAGGGTACAGCTTTATCTTTTTTTTCCAGGACACATTGATTTTTACAGGGCTCCAAATTTCCCATTAAACCCTTTCATTCCCTAGATTTCAAAATCAATAATTATTCTCCTTATGGTCTACATACATTTCTTATAACCTAAATTCCAACAACTTTCTTGCTCAAGTTTAGGCAATTTTAGGACTTTCTAAGACCTGAAATCTTTAAATCTTGAAATCTTTAGGACTTTTAAATCCTGGAAAATTACAGAATAAAATTCCAGGATTTTTCAGGTTTTCCAGGATGGGTACAAACCCTGAAATAAGTGTAAATAGATTTAAGGTTAGCATTATTTTAAAATAAACCTCTTCTTTTCCTCTTCCTTAGCTCTTTCTTTCTCAAGAGCAAGTAGCCTATCTTTTTCCATAACAGCATCCATTCTGTGAAACAATAAGTGGAAACAAAATCAGTACACATTTTACATGTGAACCTGTTCCTTGGTTGCATTTTGATTGAGTGTCAAGAGGTAAATGCAAACCTGAATTTCATGTTTTTGACAGTATTGAAAATTGCTTAATGATACATGTAACTGAGAATATGTTCTTGCCTCAACTTACCAAACATACTGTGCACTTTCAAGTAGCTTAAATACTTGGTGACTTGAGTTACTAGTATTAACTAAACACACACCTTCTGTCTTCTTGTCTTGCTGACTTCAAGTTCTAAATTGAAAAAGAGGAGAGCCATTCAATGAGATAAGAACAGAATGAGACTTTTCAGGAATTTACCTATCCATCACCTGCTTTTAATCTCTATTCCTTTCAAGGCCCATCCTGCTAGATGCAATATGTTCATCCACTGAAATTTTCCTCAGCTCCATCCTTGACAATTACTTTTAAAAAATGTTTCAGTTGGAATAGAAATTCAAGCAAGGTTACATGACAGTCCCTACCTCTTCCCGGTCAGACACTTGATCAGCCCAGCTGTTCACTACATGTTCTCTGAGCTGGTCAGCTTCAATCTACAGTGATGGGGATTAGAAAAGACAATAAATTATCAAATAACCAGGATTTTCAATAGGAAATGAAGCATCAGAAGTACCGTGTAAAGTATAATGAGAAGGCCATCAGATTATCACCAGAGAACTACATAACAGGGTACAAAAAAGAGCATGATCATCACTTGATCTTGTGTCTTCATTGCAAGCAGACCATCACCATGTTCAACAAAAAAATATCACAATGCTGGTGCAAGAAGTTGTTGAATTTCCAATTAAAATGATCAGTACTTATTGATTAAATATCTCTGCACTCAACAATCACTATGAATGCTCACCTCTCTAAGTTCTACGGCATTTTGTTTCCAATGATCATACAATTTTTGTTCAGCAATCTGAGAAGAAAGTTCAATTAGTGCATCGTCAAAAATAAATGATACTGCTTGGTTTCTTGAGACCCTCATTCATGCACAGAATACAATAATGGCTAAACATAGCTAAATCAAAAAATAAGTATACATATCTGTACAAAATAATGCAATCAGAAGCAATACCTTGGAGCATTGTGGGGGAACTTCATGCTGTTGAATGATGTCTTGTAAGTGTCATTAATCTGAGTGTATGACTTATCTAATGTGCAAATGTTTATTCCCAAACCCTAACATACACTATCCAAGTTAAAATAATGATAAAGCTCATACTTCTTTTCTTCTGGCTTCCTTGTCAGCTTTTAGCTCATCAGCCCTGGGAAGAAAAGTTCACTTCATGAAAATTTAATCCAGTGACAACATAGTAAGCAACTTTAAACAGCAGGACATGTTTACTACAAACATCACAGATGATCAAAGCAAGTTTTCTTTTTTAACATTACAAACCTCTCTTTCATCTGTAATAGTCTACCAGCTCCACCAAGTCTTTTTGCCTTAAGCTCTTCCTAGAGATTCAATTAAAAAGCAAATGAAAAGCTCTATTGTGGTTGTTCAATACACAAATGACCTTTAAGATCAAAATCAAAGAGTTGACAGTTTTCCAAGTCTCATGGCAAATGTTCATATTTCCCCTTTCTCTCAAATTGACCACCAACTAGACTCTTAAATACCCTGTGAGTAGAACTAATTGATTTGGTTTAAATCTACTTTAAGTCTCAATTACAGAAAACCAAAAAAAAACACTACCTTACACTACAGTCAAATAGTTAAGCTTGTTTTACACCTTACCTCATACTCTTTAGTCTCCTTTAACAACATTTCAGACAGTCTTTTTTTCCTCCCATCTAATCTTTGCTGTTTATCTTGTTTCATGTTCTCCTTGTACAAACCATCCAGTGCTTGCATGCTGTTAAAAACAAAATATCATTCACTCATGTGGCCCTGGAGAAGACTTAAATCACCCTTGAAAAGTTTGACATTTCATTTAATTCAATGATCGCATGAATAACTTGAGATGTTCATCCTAAGGACATTCCTTAGTGATTGACTGAAAAGTATACCCTTGAAATAATGTGATACTACACTAAGAATGTGATACTACCCAGGGAATACAAATTTCTCTAACGTATTTATGTAAGCTGGAGTGACTAAGTGTTGAATTATGTTGTGGTAAAGTTGAAATGGCATGAAATGTTACCAAGGAGATTATATAAATATATGACCATGCATGATCGACACATGCCAGTTCTCAAAGTGGCAGAACTGGATCTATGAGATAAAGGAAATACCAGGGCAAAGACTGAAGTATGACTGATGAAATAGTCAATCTGGGCAGAAATAAAAAAACAAGGTTCGTATTTCCGCATTCAAGTCATAAAACTTGCAATATCCTTGCAGATCTCACCTGTCTTCGTAAGATTCTCTTGATCCCCACACTCGTTGTTTGGTAGTCTCCACGTTAGATCTATTGAAATATCGTGCGTTATTATCCCAAGCTTCCCTTCTTTCCGCTTCGAATTGTGTTCTCCGAACAAGGAGTCCCTCATTCCTGTTTTTGTAGTTTTTCAGCCAGTACGGTTGTAATGTCGGAAGCGCCATTTTTGTTTTTATGTTCGTTGTATCAGAGCGAGGCAAAATGTGGCGCAGACGCAGTAAGGACGATATTATTTATTATAGAAATATTTATGCAAAAATTACCTCCACTTTTTCAACAGCCGAGATAGCTCAGTTGGGAGAGCGTCAGACTGAAGATCTGAAGGTCCCTGGTTCAAAACCGGAGAGTTCGTATGAACTCTGAACAATCCCGGGTCTCGGCAGCCTTTTTTTTTTCCGTCAGAAATTCGAAATAAACTCAATCAATGACAACACTTGTAACACATAAATTTGGAAAAAACATTTCTACTGTCGTATTACTAGTAAATAAACCAACTTGTGATAACAGCCTACCAAAAAATTTGTTTATTATAATTACAGATCCTGGCTTGGCCTACTACAGTGTACTTCAATAAAACTTGCGTAATTATTGTGAAAATACCATGAGCCATTTTTACACAATATCAGTTACAAATTATACATTTACATTTAAGGGTACCAAAATGTCTTCGTGAACTTCGAGGAAAGGAGAACAGTTCATGAAAGAGGAAGAACTGCTCAGAGTTTTTACTGGATGAGTAATCTAGTGAACGGAGAGATGGAAAATTGAGTCGGGCATTGGTTGAATAAACGAAAAATACCTTTGAAGGAGGAGAGTCAGGTTTTATTTCATTTTAAGTCTTCTTTCTCGAAATTAAAAAAAAAAAAAAAAGAAAGAAAAAGAAAAAACAAGTTGTCACTCTTCCCTCAGCTTGTTTTAATATTCAAGTATACAACATGTAGATATTGGACACGCAGTGATAGTTTCTTCGTAAAAGTCAGTGTAGGCTAGCTCCTTAAGTGGGACGATAAAGAAGGGTGCCCCTCCCTTCTATTTCACGCTGGCCTCTTTTCGTATCGACATTCTAGTCATGGTATAATTGTGGATACCCGTGGATAGACATATATTTTTAAATGAAAAACATCTAAAGCATACATGATTTTCTCGTTCCGTCAAGAAATCAAGAAAGGGTTTTACAAAAGCTGTTGGCTATTACCTTCAACTTGAGTTGATTCTCCTAAGACATTTTATTGAGGGGTAGTGGGCAATGATTCCTGACTATCCTTCAGATTTATCGAGTAAATCCTTATTTGAGTAAGAGGGTAAGTCATCATCGTTCTCGTCATTATTAAGGTCCTCCCTTGATGCACGCAGAGCCTTCTTAGAGGGTTGGCGCCGCAAGGATCCTGATGAGCTTTGAGCTGAGGAACGTCGACGGCCCTTATTCGATGAGCTCGACGACGGTTGGTCATTAGGCTCCTCTCCTTTTAAGGCGTCCTTAGGACTAAGTCCCCGCGCGGCGTTGAAACAGAAGCAGAATATGATGCAGCACAATAGGGCGAATAAGTTCAGAAAACCGATAGCCAAACCTACCCCTCCCACCACTTGCAGTTTGTCATCGTAGGCGAAATTTAGTCCCGTACATCCTAATATATTGATGAAATCCATCGGGTTCTTTAAGTCCATATCATTACCACAGGTGGCTGTCGGGAACTTACAGCATGACTTTGGTACCCTGTTGTTCACCCCCTAAGGAAAAAATAGTCACCGACTTTATTGCACACAACTGACACAAATAAGGGGTAGATACAAATCTGGAGCAGCGGGACTCCTGGATGAGAACGAGATTATTTTTCCGATCTAAGAGTATCGGCTCCTCTGCACAAAAGCGCTTTACTACTTAACTCTATCAGAAACATACGGAAATTGATGGAAAGGATGATACGAGTCTAAACAAAAATCATTCCACACCTCAAAAATCTCGTGTTTACTACCAATTATATTAGCCTATTTATAGGACATATTTCGGACGCATTTAGTAGCCATAATTTAGATGGGAAAATGCCTAGTGCCTCTTAGGACGTGGTAGGAAGTTGGCGTATTTCGGGCGTGCACGCTTCATGATTACCTTCAGCTACAATTCCAAAGAGGATAACATGTCCTAAACTTCGTCTTAATACTGGGGTTACATTTTAGCAAAAGACACGTCTAGAAAACAAAAAGCAAATATTTTCACCAACCTGAGCTGCTGCCCATTTTGAAGTAAACCAATCACGATAGTCAACAATTCCACAGCAGGCGTAAGTCTGCTGGATCTGATCGAAGGCCTTGGTGACTTTCTCGTCCTTTCCATACTCGGCCAGCATTTGCTGCCCATTGCTAAGTTTCTTTTTAACGACAATCATTTCATTCTTCAACGTAAAATACACTATTCCCATAATGAACTCGACAAGAAACAAGATGATGAACAAGATGGCCAGTAATGTTAGAAGTCTGTTATTTTCTTTCACTACCGCAAAGACAAACAGCCCAGTAATGAAGAAAAGAAGGATCAGAAGACCAATTCTGAGTCCATAATTCACCGGGAACGAGGCGGCTTTCATCGTAAGGTAGTCTCCGAATGGCGTTGATACGGTGACAGCGAAAATGAGCAGAGAGAGGCCAGTAAAAAAAAAGAGGATGAAAAAACCGACCATGGACCATTTTACAATATCTTTTGTCTCCATGTTACTTTATTGATCTCACTGATACCTGAGCAAATGGAAAAAAAAACCGAACATAAGAATAGTAAAAATTAGTTAAAGGTGCTACAGGACACCTCTGATGAAAAATGTATTTTATCAGTGAAATAAGCATAATGGTGTTCAAAAGTATTGCTAATTGTGACTTCTTTGGCTCATATTTAGTTCCAAGGTTGTACAAAATTTTTGCGAAAGGTCGGCTTGCTCTATGAAAGTACCATTCAATCTTGATTACTGACAAAAGTAGCACGACTCATTCAAAGCCGCATAAGTAACTTAACTGTTGCAATATTTCCGTTACTATAACTGCCTCTTATGTCAAGTGTGTGTAAAAGACACTACCCTCTCTATATCAGGACAACGGTCAGGCTTAAAACGATACTCTACAAAAGCCGGTTCAGTTTCATCGATCTCGTGTTTCCAACCACAACTAGATTGGCTCCCAAACTTTAAACGAACAGAATAGAGGTGAGTTTAATCAATGAAAACCTTAAACAGACACTTTCCTTCTCTGAGTGAACCAAAGAACCAAATAGATTATGTTCTCGTAAGGCAAGCCACACTTCACCCAGTCCGTGAGCCATATCAAGTTAACGCCCATTCCTTTGTATTCCGAGCTCAAAATCGAAAACTAGTTATTTACTCTAAGACCGACAAGAACAGGAATGGATTCAGATCAAAAGATACAGTAAACATTGCAGTAAAATGGACACCTGCCGCGAAGCAGTTTGTTCTTTTACATGGCTACCACTTGGTAGGTCGATGGAAGCTAAATAATTCACCACAACCTTAAAATTTCTCGGCAGTGTTGTTCCCAGCTGAAAATTTGATTTTAAAAGCAATTCGGTGAAGTCATCTGTGATTAAATCGTGATTTTTTCGGTATCAAAACATTAGTTCATTACATTGATTCTTACCTCAAGTTTATGTCCCTGTCACTCATTCTTGATTCGCGATGAGAACCCTAATCCGTTGGGGAGAAATTCCTTTCCATTTCAAAAATCCCACACAAGAGAACTAAATCTTTTTGACAGCCACAGCAAGACGAAAAACTATTCGTTGTGACATTCGACGTGATGTGATATCAATCCGCCATATTTCTAGAAAAATCATCTAATTTTAATGATAGCTAGAAGTTTCAGCTTGGAAACAGGTTCCAGAAATCTCTTTGTGATCACTCGTGCGTAACATCTGTTTTGAAATCAATTTGTTAAGTAAACAATTCTTGACAATAGTCGTGACCTTAGATTATAAAAAGCTTTTAGCAACAAGCAACGGGTACCGGAGTTTATAACACAAAGTCAAGATTGACTTCTATAAACAACAAAGCAAAGTAGTTCAATTCTTGGGAAGATTTCACAAGCCGTTTACCCTTGTTATTTTTCCAAACATGTTCGGGGTTGATATCATTGATCTTAGGTCAGGGAGTGTAACCAAACAGCCTTGCGCCTTCTGTGATATACTCGACTATATTCGACAGAACTTACAATTTGGAAGTTCCGTGCAAAGATGGCCTTTCCCGCTGATTTTCGTGCAGCAATAGTTAAACATTCATAAAGATGAAATATGAAATGTCACTATACAAAGTTGATGTTCAAAACTTCAAATTCATTGTTCAGGCTCGGATCATATTTGTATAAAGCACCCAACATTTTTGGTTAGCAATATACAATTTCATAGAAAAGAAAAGAAAAAGCCAGACAAAACAGAAAAAAGCGCTTTCTCCCACGCTCAAAGTAGTTCACCGATTTTAACTTTGAGCTCATATTTGCTGACGATGTTAAACCTCATTCTGACTGGTCGATGTGATTACTGCTTTGGGCTTTTCGACACTGAAAAGGAAGACTACCCGATTTCACAGCTACAAAAGTAATTGACCGACAGGTTTGCGGGATTTTTAGCTCGTAATATTTTTGTCCCAGGTTTTCCTCAACCATGGTAGAGGACATCTAGTCTCACTGGAAGTTATAAGTCAGACCTGGCTCTGAAATGAAGGTTCTACACTTTTACCTTTCATAGAAAATTGACTAAGAACTTTTTCGAGAGAAGTGGAAAGTCCCCCCCACCCCCCGCCGGTGGGGACACGAACCATCATACGCAGATGTTATAAAATCCTGATTTTATTCCAATTTGGTAACACACGACCGGTCATTGTGACAAGTGGAGAGTATAAATAACAAAAAAAAACTCTAAAGATTCTCCGACGATTGGTTTTCGCACGTCAGTAACTGGACGCTTTATTACAACTGTTGATAGTCAGCGCGTGCTTGAGTAAAAAGAGGAATGAAAAAATAAATCTATTTACAATTCAGCGGTGTAAGACAATGTGCTTTGTTCGAGTACTAAATTCCCAAATTACCCAGCTGGTTCCCAGAGCCACGTTAACCACTTCGAGAACTGTTTATCTCAGGTTGAGTCGAAACTCGTTTTCTTCTGTCGATTTTCTAATGTTTTTGTTGTTTTTTTTTTTACCAGCCGACCAAGTAACAAGAATTATCCATTTCTCATAAAGCCTTGTAATTCCTGTACAGGCCAGGAGGTTCGCAGCTTTAAGGAAGTGAGTAGAGTCATTAAAACTGAGAAAAATTATACGCGGTACGACTGCAGTTGCGCGCATTGTTTCGTTTTCTTCATTGTGAACGACCTGACAACTTTTCCTTTAAAAGGGGAAAAGCTGGTGCGAACGTCACATTCGTACATGTCACCCAAGAGGGAGAGGGTGAGGGTGAACAGACTGACGCCTGACCGCTGACAGAGTTGACACGGGTGGAATCCACCAAGATATATTCACAGGACGGTTCAGCTTGCCACAGGAAGCGATCAAATCCTCCAAACTTGGTACATGATAAAGTTGCTGGGAGGGAAGGAATCCAAGCTGCTACAGTGCTCTGGAAATTGCCCAAGGACAAGCAACGACAGAGGCGAACAACTGTCGTTTTGTGCAATCTATCTTTTCCAAAAGGCTTTGGCTATGATAGAAGGATCTCGTTCATGTCTGCCCGCTTCCTTCATTACTTTCACTGATTTTTCTCATGAGGGTGGCAGGTAGAAGAGTGAACCTCATGTCAGATGGCAAAGGCAAACCAACGTCTAAATGAAGGAGTAAGGCTTCCAACCACTTCTCCAGGTCACAAAACTCGGGTCTGTTAGAGGAGGACAAAAGTAGTTCAGTAAAACGCAAACATATCGTGGCCACCCACTAAAGTCTAGGCAATATCAGAGTCAAAAAACCGCACATAGAATTTGTTTGACTTCTCTGCTTCCCAGAAAGCGTATTGCTGTTTTGATCACAAAAGACCCAAAGTGCTTCAAGCAAGGGAAACCCAAGACTCGAGGCAAAAAACATGTACAAAAAACCAAGTTATCACTGTTGTTAATAATTTTCCGCTTTGGTTAAAGAAACAATATCTTTGCTTGGAATAATTAGAGTAAAATTCAAGAATTTTTCTTATAACCAAAGAGCCTAGAGCCGAAAGAAATCTCCTCAATATCCTTGGCAAACTACCCAACATATTATGGCATAAAAGCTGTAATATAACGAACTGATTCAATCAGTGGTTTGACAAACATCAGAAGAAATGTCACCGGGTAGTTCGCCATAAAAATGATTTTATAGCTTAATGTTCTGAACCCTGTTGTCATTTGCTACACAAATAATTTGTGTGTACGTACTTTGAATCTGTAATTCCAAGCAAGGAAACCTTTCTTTTACCTCTTATCTGAGTCCAGATCACAGCAAAGGAAAGCTATTTTGTAAAATAACTCGGGACATCCCTCACAAAACTCTTTACGGAATTTCTCCTCATCAATTCCAAAATTCTGTGGACACAAAAGCGAGAACGATTAATACGTGACCGAATTTTTTAAGAAAGCAATGACACTGATTCAGTTGATAGTTCTCTACATTTCCCGCAACCCTATCACGCAAAATCTTTCTTTCGCTTCAACTCTAGGAACCAATTGTTTATTTCCCCATGAAATGCAGCGGAAAGGACGTTGAAGTTATACCAATATATCCACAGCTTATAACTTTGTCTATTTTCAGCACCTTTGTACCGAAACTTGTTATGAAATTTGGAGAAGATCTGTACAGATCACTTCGAGGATCAAACAATTAATTTATGAACTCCTAGCGCTTTTTTAGGTGTAAATAGAAGACAAGATTTACCCAGGCATAGTCAAACTAAAGCAACTAGAATTATGGAACTAAGGAGTATAAGAAAATTCTTACTGATAATCGAGGGAGGAAGTCTGGATCAGCCTTTACTCGGCCAATTATCTGAAACAAAAAAGGAAGGAGGTGATAGTGGAGCCTCAAGAACGTGTAAATATGGAGATTGACTGTGGACTTTAAACAGGAATGACATGAAATGACAAAGCAAATTGATCCATGGAGGTAAAAATCATACCTCGCATGTTAAAACCCCAAATGAGAAAACGTCGACCTTTTCATTGTACGTCATTCCTAAAAAGATAAATGAAATAGATGGTGAAAAGGGCGCTACGTAACAAGCAAGGCAGCACTCGACCCAAGACGTCCAACTTGCCAGAGCACAATTCCACAATCCCTTGCCAGAGCCCT